GAAAAAGAGATTTGAGGACACAGTGTCCTCAATCTCTTTTTCTGCAGCCTCTGTTATCAATGAGCAGGAATCCTCTGTACTGAATGTTCCTGCTCATTGATAACATGAAGACAGAGTATGTTTACTATAACCACAATCATGAATGAACAGGAGGTGATGTAGATCACTTCCCATTCATAATTGAGGATATAGTAATCATACCATGTCCTCAATTATGTACAAACACTCAGCGATCACTGAGTGTTTGTACCTCGCTCTCCTCTCTGACACGCTGTCACAGGAGGTTGAGCGCGGGCGGTGCAGGGAGGAGAGCTCAGCCTCCTGTGACAGCGCTTGCTGTCTCCGCCCACACACCGCTGTGCCTGACTGTGATAGGAGGCTGAGCGGCTAACTGAGTAGGAGGAGAGAGGCTGGCCGCTCACAGCGCTCTCGGCTGGCTGTCGCAGTTTCTCTCCTCCCTGCTGGGACACAGAGCAGCGTCCAGCGGGGAGGAAAGAAAGCAGGGATGCGCCGATGTATCGGCAGGAAAATTATACTTTCGGCATTTAGCCAAAAGTGTCATTTTCGGCCGATATATCGGTGCATCCCTAGTTCTCATTCATCCAGGCCATGGTATATCTGTAACAAAAACAAAATCAGGGCAACTGGACTTGCTGTATTTTTCTTGAAGACGTTTCACTGATCATCCAACCAGCTTTCTGAATTGAGAAAGCTGGTTGGATGACCAGTGAAACGTCTTCACGAAAAATACAGCAAGTCCAGTTGCCCTGATTTATTTTTTTACAGATATGCAGACATACTATGCAAAATCCATTTCTTTCAGTTTCTACTGATCTCTTTGCAGGAATAGCATCCTTTCAGCTTGCAGTATACCTTGAGATGTGGGGACCATCCTTATTGGCCATTCTGTTTCTGATTTCATGGTATTAATCACAGCCCAGTCACACCACGTTTTATCCACTGAAAGTTTATGGTTTATTGTGAAACTTGGGAAGCGATGAAACGATAGCATGTCCTCGGGGTGAACCTATTTTACTGAGCAGTTATCAGCCTGATAAAGGGTCCCTCATATAGGTCAATCTGACATTGCTGTGACAGTCAGTCAGCAATGATGTGTACACACAACTACTATCTCCCCAGGCCCGTATCTGATCAGATTGTCGTTATTCAAAAGAAAAAGTTGCTGAGATATCACCTTCACCTCAGCCCAGAGAGTTATTGCATTGCTCTAGCAATTGATGGGACAGGATGCTTCAAGGCCTTACCTGCAATATCGCTGTACATGATAACGCAGGGTAATGATCAAGCAGAATGTTCACATTTTTCCCCTCTGTCTCTACGTCAGTATACATGTGAACTGCACCCATTGCCCATAGTCACATGAAACTTCTCAGTACTACCTGCTTGTAAATTGCTTTAGTGACGGCACCATCAGGGATTATTTTTATGTAGTTGCTTTAAATTTTGTATTTGTATTATTATTATACAGGATTAATATAGCGCCAACAGTTTGCGCAGCGCTTTACAATATAAGGAAGACATTACAATCCCAATACAATTCCAGACAAGATGGTAAGGCCCTCTTTTCTCTTTTTAAAGGAGAATTATGAGGCGAGTGATTTTCACTCAGCCTCATAATCTGAGCCGACCTGTGACAATGAAACTGTCTAGGGATGCACCGATACCGATACAAGCATGGGTATCGGCGGCGATATCGAGTATTTGCAAATACTCCGATACAAAAAACGTGTACCTGTTCCGCGTCCGCCATCTTCAGGGACCCGAAACCACCGCACACAGGACCTCCATCACGTCTTCAGTTAAACAAGATGGCCGCGAACTCCTCCTCCAAGTCCTCAGTCATCTGCTCCATTCTGACCTCTTCTCCCGCTGATTGGATGATTGACAGGCTTCCTCACCATGCACTATACAATGTTCTGGTCTGGATATGTGCTCATCTATTTTCCCCACTATGAGGGTTCCCCATTCACAGTAAACATAATGCATGAGGGAATTCGAATTGTATTTCGACTGGTGTATAGCCAGCTATAGAAACCGACTGAAATCCAACTTCAGTGTTTATTGAGATCTTTGAAACCGAATGACGTCAGATTAAAAGCAGTTAGAAGGGTCAGGGCTGGCTCTTTTACTGCTTATAAGGACTATGCACATAGTTTAATGTCTATAGTCTGGGCACAGGCACTCATTAAAACCACAGGGCATGTATTGGGAGAGGGAAAAGCAGCACAAGGTCAGTTTACTTTCTGTTGTGCTGCAGTACTTATGTGTTAGGAAGAAACACACTGTTAGAAGGAGAGAGCAGGGGAAAGGTGAAGTGTGTAAGTCCTAGTTGTATTACAAATCCTTTAGCTGGTACGCAGCATATGTATTTCTTCTTTATAATTAGCCGTTTGCCCAGAGTTCAGCCTTAAGATGCCCACACACCTTACGATAATCGCGGGAAATGCCGCGATCGTACGATTATCGTAAGGTGTGGGAGCCGTGCGACCTCTACTACTGTAAGGTCGCACGACTTTTAACTTACGAGCATGTTCGAAACCAGGCTGGTTTGTGGCATGTTCGCAAGATAAAAGCCGCACGGCCGGTGTGCGCAAGCGCACACTGCCCATTCGGCATTGCGGTCATCGGAAGCCCCCCCCCCATCAGTGTCCGGGACAGGCAGATCGTACGTTTTTCTAAAATTTACCTTACAACCATCGCAAGACAAAAGTCTTGCGATGGTTGTAGGGTGTGTGTGCCCAGCATTAAGGTGCCCACACACCTTGCGATAATCGGGGGAAATTCCGCGATCGTACGATTATCGCAAGGTGTGTAGAAGGCGTGCGACCTTACAGTAGCAGATTTTATCTTGCGAACATGTTCGAAAACCAGCCGATTTTTCAGCTGGTTTGTGGCATGTTCGCAAGATAAAAGCTGCACGGGCTGGGGTGCGCACCACGGTTAAATATTACTCCTTCAGGCTGTATTTTTTTTTCTTAAGCTCCCCTCTGGATGGTGTTGAGTGATCTTTGTTAATCTGGGTATGATATGTCCTGTGTGTGAAGAGATCTTTCTGTTTGCCATACAAGGTGTAAAATCCCGGCTGTGGCTGTTCTCCAGCGTGCAGACGTTTGTTTGCAGATCCATGTCACTGGCCAGGGAGGCAGCTGCCAGTGTGCAGGGAATAACACATCATAACATCCTGTATTGAGCACATGACCAAACAAGCTTCCACCTTTCCGTCTAGCCGGACTTCTAGCGCTGGCAGGTCTTCTGCATTTTCTCCCCTTCTCTTCTATTTCTTCGTATATGATACTTTCATTTATTGATATCTTCTAATAGAAAGGTGAACTTTTATAACTGTATTTTATATGGGTACATTGAGGGGGATTTTATCAGACGCATTGCAACCAATCAGCTTCTCTCTCTTTTATTTTCGAAGCTTAGATGAACAAACTGAAGAGAGAAGCTGATTGGTTACTGTGAGCAACTGCTCCAGATTCTCTCTGCCCCAGTCTTGATAAATTCCCCCTGTTGCTGTTTTTAATTTTTGTTCTTTTTCTCTGTATTTAATATATATATTTTTTTTTTTCTAGACAATGCCTGAGGACGATTGTCGCGCGTTGCGGAGTCGCCGCTTGGTCTCCAAACCTCCGGAGAAAGAGGAAGTTATAAGAAGAACAGAAGCAGACAGGCCAAATGGGAATATGAGTAACGGTAAGAGATGTTGGTGGTGGGAGGGATCGGGGTCTGAATGTTTTCATATATTAGGTCCCATTCACACCTAGGCATAGCGGAAATGTGCATCACTTTCGAAAATGGTTGTGCATCTTCATGCGTGTTTGTTTTCCATGTTTGCCACGCGGCCCCATTGATTTCAATGGGTTATACGCGCGCCAAACACGGAAAAGTAGTGCATTTAGCCAAATCTGTGACAAGCATTCTGCATTTTTTTTCTTTGCGTTTCTGGATGTTTTAACGCACGTGAATGTGGAGGAGGAACCTGCGTATTCCCATCTGCCTTTGGGGTGCCATTAACTGGTAATAGCAATGCAAACGCATTTCACATTTCTGCGCATTTTGTGAATGCCTGTCAAAGCATTTTTTTGCGCATTGGACACACATTCCTGCTATGCCTAGGTGTGAACCGAGCCTGATACTTTAAAGCAAGACTGGGCAAATCCCAGAAGCCAGGTTGCTAACGCTCCTTAAAAATTACAGCTGCTGCCTAAGTTTTGAGGATTTCTTTAGTTGTCAGCTGGCTCCTAAAGGAAATCCTGCGGGCTCCTGAAATGAACAGAATGGCTTCTGAACTCCATATTACCTCATTCGCCCCTGCTTTAAGGGGTTGATGTATAAATCTCCTGCCCAGCATAAAGCTGGGCTAATGCCGTAGACATGGCATTACCGCCACTAGATGGACCCTAGGAGCATAGGAATTTCCTGTGCTCCTTGGCTCCATCTAGTGGCAGTAATGCCATGTGTACGGCATTCACCCAGCTTTACACTGGGCAAAAGATGTGTACGTAAACCCTAATGATGAACCTTATTTGCTTCCTTTTTGGTTTAAATATATAATACAGTAAACTCTCTGTTATTCGGTATTTGACTAGAACTCTCATCTAACCAGAAAAAACAAATCCCCTGTGTACTCACTGTTCTGTGGCATGTATTATCCTGGAAATGATTGTGTGCCTATTTGTTCTAATTTGCTTTTGATTACTGCATTTCAATATTAATGTGAACTGCAAAGTTTATGGTCTAGTATGGGGTATGGCATTAGTTAGGCCTAGTTGCCTCTCAAGCAACCAGAAACTACATTTATCCAGAATCTACCAATTCCCGTGGATGCTGGATAACGGGGAGTTTACTGTATCTCAAAACAAATTGTTAGATGCATTCTATTAAGTGCAAGAAAAAAAAAAGGTTAAACCTGACTGAAATTATATGACTGATGATTTCCTTTACACTCTGCCTCTGACTGTTATCAGCAGGGCTTGAAAAATTTTAGGGTGTCTCACCAGGTCAGTAAAAAATTTCCCCAGTCAGCATGACTGGACTATAGCCTTGCAATTTATGTTCACATTATTTAGGGACACATAGAGCTTTCTTTTGGAGGTATATAATCGCCACTGGGGGTTTTATTTTTTATTCTATAATAAAAAAAGCACAGTAAATTTTGAAAAAAAAACCCCAAAACGTTTTCCCTACGTTATGTTGCCCTGAGGGGCGGGACCCTCCTTTCCATCTTCTCTTAAATTGTATTGTGATTGTAATGTCTTCCTTATACTGTAAAGCTGTGCACAAACTGTTGGAGCTATATAAATCCTGAATAATAATAATGTTAAACATTTATTCTTACCCATATTTTTGGTAAAACATAAAAGACACGGGGTCACGTCGGGTAAATAGACACCAAACATGTCAAGCCTTAAAATTGCGCGCACCCGCAAAATCGCAAAGAAACGACCACACCGAAAATTGGCCGTAGGTGACGCTTTAAACACTTTTACCACTCATCAGTTTAGTGTTATCAGTGATTAATGGCCCTAAAATGATTGTTTTCACTCTGACAGTCGTGGCGATATGTAACATGTGCCGTCGATCGTGTACCGATCTCCCTTTGATCTCCTGTGATAGAGCAGCTGTGCTGGCAGTGACAGCGGCGGGGGGTAAAACTGCACCTAATACAAGTGATCGGGATAACTGCAGCTAATACAAGACGCCCGATCACTTGAATGTAAACTGCCATCCAAGAAGTTGCCGGCCGTTTAATTAGAACGGCCGGCTGGGAAGCTACTCGTCCGGCTCCAGCGTCCTCTCGTCGAGAGGACGAGTGAATTTTCAAGCCCTGGTTAACAGCAAGCATTTTCCCTGTTCTCTCTGTGAACTTCAGAAAACTTTTTAAATATGTTAAAGTTGGGAAGGGTTAGACACACTGTTGAGGTATAATTGCTGTATGTGTATTGGAGAGAGTCACTCTCTTTTCGTACCCCCTCTATTGGGTGACCAAATGCTAAATTCTAGAGTTGTCCCCATAACAAGGGGTAAGGGGAAATCTTCTAATAGTGACATCTTTTCCAGGGACAGCTCTTGAAGGGTGGAATTCCCTTCACTTTGGGAGTTTTCCCCTAACTTCCTGGTGTATCTTTGGGACAGGAAGTGAATGGGAAGTTTCCCCAATGTTAAACACACAAAAAACCCTTTCACTGCTCTTGCCAAAACCTAATAAAAAGGTTTTGGCTATAGACACACTTTTATAAAAAAAGAAGAGGAAAGGAAAGAGTTCTCTTGTACACGTTTCCTGTTCTAGGGCCCGAGATACAGTACAGTTGGTGAGCATTGTCACCCTGGGACAGGAAGTGTGTTGCTAGCAGGATCACCAGGAAAAAATAAAGAATATTAAGTCTGAAAATGAAAACTAGAGCAGCCATTACATCTAAGGACTTGTAAGCTGTACTGCGGGGAGAGTCAAACTGCTGCAGGTACAAAGGGCAGAAAGCTAGAGGTACCACCCAATCTTGGGCTGTTCTGCAAGCAAAGCTTGGTCAATCTCTGATGGCAAGAAAACTTCCTGTTGTGTTGTCACCCTTTTTCAAAGTCACTGCAGTAAAATTGTGATGTTCTGCCACTCACATTTCCACAAAACGTTTTCGACATGGTGTGCAGGATGTGAACAGCACAACTAAACATAACCTGAAGATCGTAAGAGGAAAGACTGCATTCTTTTGTTTTACATCCAGTGATCTGTTTGATGAGAGTTGTGTTCTACTTTACTAGGGATGCTAGTATCGGTGCCGATACCGAGTATTTGGGCTTCCTGATTGCCCGGAAAGCCGGCTTCATGCTCCCTCGTCATTTCATGACGAGGGAGCATGGAGCCGGCTTCCATGATTGGCCAGCAAGCCAGCTCCATGCTTTCTCATCACATAGTGACGAGAAGCATGGGACGGCTTCCTTGTTAATTCGGGAAGCCGAGTGGCAAGTCTTTACACGCTTCCCGGCTAATCACGAAGCCAGGTGGCGAGTCATTACACACTGTCTGGCTTCCTGAATGGGACATCGGGTACTCGGTATTTGGTATCGGCAAGTACCGGGAAAAAAATATCGGTACTCGGTACCAAAATACTGGTATTGGTGCATCCCTAGCGCATACATTAGTTCCAGACGGCAGCCTTTCATATCCTTCTCTAAGCATTCACTGAGTTTGGATGGAAGTTTTTACCTTTTCTCAATTCATTAAAGTGTTTTGGCCAAAAATAATTTCTGAATGCTCCCCGCTTCTCTGAAACATTTGGAATTTGTGCAAATTTCTCTCAGTGGACCAGACTGACATTTAGGACCTTTCAATAGAACTGAGCTGTCTCATGTGATACTGACATCAGTACTTCCTGTGATCATTTACTGTTTACGTCCCGTCACCGTGTTTCACCATGATGACCTCACTGTGACTAACAGTCTAAAACTGACCTGCAGTAAACTCAACATGTGGAACAATGCTAAAAGTTTCTGGAGGGGAATAAAAGGTCATATTACAGATGGTTACCAATTCATTGACCTTGTTAACTCTTTTAAAGTGGAACTCCACTGTTTTAATTGTGATTTGGACCAGAGAAGCTATGTGTAATGCTTTGCCAGCTACTTCCAGAGGTTGGTTGGGAGAGCTCGAAATCTTAGTTTTATTTCTGCACGATACTACTGTCAGCTGTGAGCTTCTGCCCCTGAGACTGACAGTGCAGGAAGAGGAGAGTTGTTTGCTCTCTCCATTCACAAAAAACCTTGTGTTCAGTGAAAAGAATACAAGGCTTTCTGTGAATAGATGAGGGGAGAGGAAGGGTGGGTAAACCAGGAGAATGCCACATATCCATCAAAAGCCTTGTATTAATTGAAACAAACACAAGGCTTTCTGCGAATGGATGAGGGGAAAGGAGCAGCGGGTAAACCAGGAGAATGCCACATATCCATCCACAGAAAGCCTTGAATTAATTGAAACTAACACAGGGCTTTCTGAGAAGGGACGAGGGGAAAGGAGTAGCGGGTAAACCAGGAGAATGCCACATATCCATCCACAGAAAGCCTTGAGTTAATTGAAACTAACACAGGGCTTTCTGAGAAGGTTTAACGATATAACGGGGAAGGGAAGGTATATATACAATCTCTCCAATATGATAAATATAATCAATATAAATGGGGGGTCCCCTAACTATTAAAGTTTTTAGAAAGAGAAGTTTTCCCCTGGGAGAGGGGATCCCACCATTCTTTACACAATCTATGTAACGATTTAGGTGATGAAAAGGTATAAATATATTTATTCAATAAAAATCTATAATTTTTAGACTCTACATATACAGAAATTCGGAAAAATATATTGATCACACAGACAAATAAATGTATACATACAACAGACAGATAAATATATATATAAGAATAGAGGACTGCATACCGCCTATACACCGGTAAGTAAATGAGTGGGTTAATAAAGAAATTCCTTGTCAATTAAAAGACATGCCGCTTAGAAAGCCAGGTGTATTCGTATATATAGAAAAGACAAACGCTGTCCATGAAGTGAATTCCAATATACGCTAGATTTCCTGATAATTGCCCTAGTTTGAACTACAGGGCACAAGAGATATCGGGAATGTAGCTACGGAGGACGCGTATCATGTGGACACAATACCCTTGGGGATCATGGAAGTGGGATAACACGGTTGATATGA